ATCTGAATTTGATCCCTGGAGGGAAAGAATGGACTCCTGAAAGTTGGCCTCCAGAGGCATACCTGGGCATATGTGTCCCCCCAATATCACACACACTAATAATAACAAAAGGTATAAGTAAAACTATCTTCATTGTATGTATATATGTCTACAAGTGTGTGTGTGTGTATGTATAAAGTGAATTGAGCTAGATTGCAGATCAGTGTTACAAAACTCAAGTTCTGCCAACAGTTAACATCTGTTAGCAGCTCACATAGGAATAATTTAAAGTTTTTAGTAATCAGTTTAATAAATATATAGTCTATACTGAAACATTGCTGAGATGAATTAAAGAAGTGCTGAGTAAGTAGAGAAGTGTTCCATGTTCTTTACATGAGAAAATTAGTATTATTTAGATCATTTGAGGGAGCTTGCCATCTGTAAAGTTGATGGAATCAGAACAGTAAAAAATTAGACCAGAAATTAACTACCTAATTTGAAAATGTATTAACCGAAATAATTTTTAGAAAGGTTGGAGGAGTTAATACTACCTGATATCAAATACACTATAAAGCTACAATAATTAAAACAGTCTGGACTTGGCATATAGAAAAACTAGTTGTTTTATTTGTTTAATTGCATTTTAGGGTACTGGGGTTGGACTAAGGGCCATGTTCATGCTTGGTAAGCCTGCTGCCCCTGAGCTGCATCCCTGCCCCTTGATTTGAGATACATTTTTGTTATAAAGCTCATTCTGGCCTTGAACCTGTTCCCAGTCTGCCTTCCCCTCTGAGTGTGTGCCACCATATCCAGCTAGGAAATACTTGTAGATAAATAGAACAGTCCAGAAATAAAACTACACGTAGATGATAAGATGAATTTCAGCAAAGGCAGCAGGATATATCATTGAGGAAAAAAAGGTGTGTGTGTCTGTGTCAGGGTGTGCATGTAACCATCAGAGGACAAGCTTCAGGTGTCTGTTTTCCTCCTCAATGGAACCTAGGAATAGAATGCGGGTCACTGGGCTCTGTGGCAAGCACCTTTATCTGATGAACCATCACTGCTCCCATGCCCCCTGTTTTGTAAAGAAAGTATTTTTACAAATGCTGCCAAAATAAGTAGACAGCTATATGGCAAATGATGACCCTTGATCTTACTTTATACCATACACAAATATTAACTGGTAGTAGATCATTGACCTAAATGTAAGGGTTTAAAGTACAGAATATCTAGAAGAAAAGAAAATGTGTCATGTGGTGTTGGGCAAAGTTTTCTTCAGCAGAACAAAATTCTAGTAAATGCTTAAAAGAAGACAGTGATCATAGATGGAGTCAAGAACAAAGAGCTGAGTGCAGATCAGTGGTAGAGAGAGGGCTTGCTCTATGTTCGGTCCGTAGCATTGCAAACACAAATCAGTAAATAAGCCTACTCCATTTGGTTCATATGCAGAACATGCAAAGAACTTCTACAACTCCACAATCGGACAGCCTAGCAAAAATGAGTAACCACTGTGACAGGTAAGTCACAAAGACGGTGTGCAAGTAAGCCAGCCCTCTAGTCACCTAGAATGTAAATGAACAGGACAGGGAGTCATCGATTACTCTTTTAACGAGCAAAGTTAAGAGTGGTAGTGAGACAGATGGGGGCATCTGCACCTGTGGTACATGACTGGTGAGGACAGAGAGCAGGGCAGTCTCGGGCAGCCGCTGGCAGCAGGCCATCGGGCAGCTTCTTAGGAAGTTAAACAGTAGCTAGCCTCAGAGTCCGTAGTTCTTTCCTGTTACAAAGCAAAATGAAAATAGAGAGGAATGTGATAGCATTGTTCAGATAGCCTCAGACTAGTGAGCCCTGCTTTCACATGGGTAGAAGTGGAATCCGTGAATCTCAGAAGCATCATGCTAAGTGAAGTGAGACAGTCACAGGGATCTGCAGATGACCCTTGGTTGTGACATCCTAGGAGAGCAAAGCTTTGTCTTTGTTGACTAGTGGTTTGCCTGCTTCCCAGAATCTAGGTAGGAAATTGGTTGTACAGAGACACGAAGGAACTTGGAGGTGACAAAAATGTTCTGGATTTTAACTGCTTTTTAGTTAACCTGACTGTTTGTATGAACTCTTGGCTTGTCGATCTGTGCACTTGATGAACAATTCTCACTGCCACTCGAAAAAGCTTTTAGAAAACAGACTACATGCAGCATAGTAAGGTTTCTTTGTTTGTAGATGTGTTGTGTTTCTGTGTGTTTAGATTAGATTATGCTACCGATTGTCTAAAATGGTCTCACTTGTGGGTGAAGTAAGGAGGTAAGGAGGCAGAAGAAGCTTGGTGGGGTTGTTATTTTATTTGTTTATTTATTTTGTTTTTTTGAGACAAGGTTTCTCTGTGTAGCCCTGGTTGTCCTGGAACTCACTCTGTATGTAGACCAGGCTGACCTCGAGCTCAGAGATCCACCTGCCTCTGCCTCTGGGGTATTAGGATTAAAGGCATGTGCCACCTCTAAGCAGGGTTGTTATTTTAGAGCACTCAGGAAGTCGCTGATAAAGAGAACTTGTGCAGGTACTGTTGAAGAAAGTTAAGAAAATTCAGCCAAGTGGATTTCACATGTGTTACCCATTTCTCACTGAACTTGCCATTGTTCTCTATCTGTAATGCTCACTGGCATTGCAAGTGAGCTCTTACGTTGCGTTGACTGATCCTGACCCTTTAGTACATCTCATTTGTACCCTCATGTGCTGTTATGTCACCCTGTCACTTTTTCTTGAGGACAATAGCTATAGTTTGTATGCATTTTTGTAGTTCTTGGTCCTGTGCTTTGCCCTCAAGATGCAGTCAGTTAGTTGGTTTGAGTGCTTTTGGATGAGATGAGTCGGGTCACTGCTGTGTGTGTTAATCTGTGTTTTCTTAGTTCAATATAGCATTAGAATGTAAACAGAACTTTACATAGACCCACAGTGAAACCAACCATGCAGGAGCAACTTGGTGTAACAGCATTTTAGCCTGACTTGTCAAGTAGAACGACTGTAGGGTGTGGGGATACTGGCACCCTTCAAGATAGATAGCCCTGGTGGACGAAAGGTGGGAGAGGTTTCACTGACAGATCAAGAGGGATTATCTGGAAACAGGTGGCTGAATAGAGGGGTTGTCATTTATCTCTCCTGCCTGTCTTCATTTCATCTGTTCTACTTATGTGTTCATATATTTCTAAATCTTTGTGTGTGTGTGTGTGTGTGTGTGTGTGTGTGTGTGTGTGTGTGAGAGAGAGAGAGAGAGAGAGAGAGAGAGAGGGAGAGAGAGAGAGACAGAGAGACAGAGAGAGACAGAGAGACAAGAGACAGAGAGACAGAGACAGAGAGAGAATGGGTTTATGTGTATGCATGCAGTGCCTGCAGAGTCCAGAAGAGGGCGGTGTATGCCCTGAAGCTGAAGAAGGTGTTTATGAGCTGCCTGCTATGGGTGCTGGGAATTGAACTCGGGTTCTCTGAGAGAGCAGCAAGAACTCTTAACACTCCATCTATTTTAGATATCAGCAGGGATCTGTAAGACCCATCAGTTTGGTCTGAGAGCAAAGTGAAAGCTGACTGGTGCATGTTCAGCCTCTTCCAGTAGGTGGCAGCAGAGGGCTTTGCTTCAGTGTTCTCTTCTGTCTTGAAGGTTTCATAGTCCTAGGTACTGAATATTCTTTTAGTTAAGGCTGATGCCTATTTTTTTTTTTTTTTTTGTAGACAGATCAAAGTGATATCATGGTTGTTAGCTGTCACTTTACATCAGATGTTATGAGGAGCTAAAATAATAGTTTACTTTGTATAGGTTTTATTTGCTAACAACTCTTTAACTACAATTTTCACCCACTACAGTATTATTAATATTTCAACATATCATTTTCTGCCTCACAGCCTCTTATAGAGAACCCAGCTGTTGTAGTCTGGAACTAAATAAGATCTTATTAAATAGTACATAAGTATTTCATCATGTAGCTTTGGGGGCATTCTGTATCTGTGAAAAACATCCATGGTTTTTTTCCTTTTGTAAACAAACTCAAGGCTAAGTTGCACAAGAAGCATTTTAATGCTAGTAGTTAGGTCGGGCTGGTTTTTCTTCCTCGCTGCTTTACTTGCTTCCAGGAAGCAGCGTCCGTACTGTGGGGGAGGCAACTGCCCTCTCTGTCCGACCTACGGCTCAAGAATGGTAGTACAATGTGAACTACAAAGTGCTGGCCTCCGAGAAGGCCAGAGCGGGCGGTAGTCTGTAGCTTGAGTCACTTAGCAGATAATTCTTACAAGGTTTTCTCCCCAGGGATCTGTTGATTTAGGAGAGAGCTTTAAAACTGTTTTTTTTTTTTTTTTTTTTTTTTTTAAAAAAAAAAAAACAATGTAGTACTGAGGTTTCTGCCTTTTTTTTAAACATGAAGTGCTTGCTAATTTTTACAAACTCGCAGGCCACCTATAGCCAGGCTTGGAGTCCTGTCTTATCCACACACACATGCTTCATCATGGTCATGTCGCTTGCATGTCTCTCACCTGCTTCTTTCATGGGGCACAGAGACTGTGCCCGAGTCCTTGCCTGCACCCCCACCCCAACCCTGTGAAACTCTAGAACAAGTCTGGCCAGACACTAGTTCAGAGCAGCCGATTGCTACACATGCTTCTCTTTAAGCCAAGAAGCAGCACAATTTAAGAGAGAGCAGATAGCTGAAAACAGGAGGGATGTGGACAAGGCTGTGATGAGAGCGCGGGGCAGGCACACTCACTTCACTCAGCAGCAGGGGTGAGGTGCTGTGAGTCTGCCGTCGGGTCTGTCTGAAACACTGTTGCTCTTATCCCCTCCTTCCGTTGACGGGCTTGATAACTTCCTACTAAAATGTGTTTGCCACCGAGACACAACTTCTGTTAACCCTGGGGAAAGTCCTCGGGGTTATTCCTGGTGTTTAACCCTCCACAGTCTGTGGTAACTGGCTGAACCATATCCGCCCTCATGGAGTTGCTTTGTCTCAGCAGCCACTGATGTTTTCATTTTGGTTTAACCCTAGCTGATCCTACGGTTAAGGACTTAATCGGAGGCTTCACCGCTCTGCATTACGCAGCCATGCACGGCCGGGCCCGGATTGCACGCCTGATGTTAGAGTCTGAATACAGGAGTGACATTATTAATGCAAAAAGCAATGATGGCTGGACTCCTCTCCACGTGGCTGCCCACTACGGTAGGGACTCATTCGTCCGGCTCCTTCTGGAGTTCAAGGCTGAGGTCGACCCACTTAGTGATAAAGGTACAACACCCCTTCAGCTCGCCATCATCCGAGAGAGATCAAGCTGTGTGAAAATCCTCCTGGACCACAATGCCAACATCGACATTCAGAATGGATTCCTGTTGCGCTATGCTGTAATCAAAAGCAATCACTCTTACTGCCGCATGTTCCTTCAGAGAGGGGCAGACACAAACTTGGGGCGCCTAGAAGACGGACAGACTCCTTTGCACTTGTCTGCCCTCCGTGATGACGTGCTCTGTGCACGGATGTTGTATAACTATGGAGCAGACACGAACACAAGGAACTATGAAGGTCAGACCCCACTGGCCGTTTCAATAAGTATTTCAGGAAGTAGTCGGCCGTGTTTGGATTTCTTACAAGAAGTCACAAGTATGTAACATAATTACTACTCTTATTGTATCTTTTCCTCTTACTTCGCACCTTCTGAGTTGCTTGAGATATTTTTGTAATACGAGATGACTAGACATTAATCATTCTTAGAAGTCCTGCTTGGTAAGTAATACTCATTCATCCAAAACCCAGTTGTGTTCCTAAAAGTGGACAGTAAAGTTTAGAGGAAATGACAGACCTTTTTTAGGATGAACAAATTTGGATGTTAAAGGAAGGTAGTTCCCACTGCTCCAAACAGTAGTCTGTCTAATACCGTGTGGGATTCAGGTTGAGGAATTAGAAGGAGATTGGGGGTCTAGATCCCTTAGCTATAGAGATGGTCTACATCTTGCACTTTATTACTAAGTTCCAGTGAAAGGAAATGCCGCTCTGGCTTATTTAGATTCCCCAGTAATGGAGGTTAAGGATACTAGAAATGGTTGTGAGAAAACTGAGAAATTAGGCAGCCATGTCCCCGTGCCACATAGCTTCCACCGATGCCAGCCCAGTTTCCGAGAAATACTTTCTTTACACCTCCAAGTGTCTGGTTCATCTAACGTAGAGTAATGGTGTCCACATTGCTTTCTGGGGGCAGTGTCAGTTTGTGTGGCCCTTGTTAGCTTTTCTTGCCGTGCTTCCCTGGGACTGGCCCAGTGTATGCACCAGAGGCTAGTGTGTGAACCAAGAAGCCGAGGGCTGTGAGCACCATTCATTTACTCTGCTGTACTGTCCGGTGCCTAGCTGCCTTCCCCCGCATGATCTTGGTTACAGAAGAAAGGCCAGCGTCTGATTATGTGGCATTTATGAGAGGCCAATTTTAGTTTTGAGTTTTTAAATTTGGAAGCCAGGGGGCGGTGCCAGTGAACAAAGAGGACGTAGAGCCTGGAGTCCATGGAGGTGTGTTGAATGACACGTTGGCATGATCGTGAGGACAGCGGCAGAATCCTCAGGAGATGAACTGCCCTTCCCCTATGGAAAGCCAGGCTAGAACTGGGTAGAGTTTGTAGGATTACGCCACATGGGCATCATTGGGTGTGTGGACCTTTGGGGTTGGGTTCCAGCTCTCTAAGGGGGAAAGCAGGTTATGGAAGTGCTTACCTAAAGGAAAAGCTAAACCGGTTTATACAAAGAACAAACAGGGGAAAGCTGTGGGAAGAGTGTTGAAGTGGTGGTACCATGTATAACTTTGTGAAAATATCTACGTGTAGTGTAACCTGAGGGGATGGTTAGCTACTAATGGAACCCTCCAGAGAACTGGTTCTAATTTCGTTGAGTTTGTTCTCATCGTCTTCCCTCAGTGTAAAGTTCTCTAGTTACTCGGTAACTACAGACTGCAGAGTTGTAGTTGTTCAGAGCATGGAATATGTTTAAAAACGTATTTATTTTTACTCAATGTGTATGGGCGTTTCCCTACCTATATGTCTGTGCTTCGTGTGTGTATCGTGTCCAAGGAGGCCAGCAGAAGGCATTGGGGCCTAGAGTTACAGGGGATTGTTAGCTGTCAGGAGAACGCTGGGAACTGAACCCAGGTCCTCTACAAGAACTGTCTGCTGAGCCAGCCCCCAGAATGTACAATCTTCCGAGAAAGACAGAAATATCATGAGAGGGCTTAACCTCGGGTAGTGACTAACAATAACTTTGATATTAAACGATGAGATTTTAATGAATTCATGCCTGGAATTTTATTCGCAGAGAAACTGTAGTATTGGGCAATGGCCCATCTAGAAATACTCATGCATGGATTATAGACTAGATTTCCGCATCTAGGAAATGGAAGGGTTGAAAAGAACTGTAATGGTGCACACCTGTAATCCTAGCACTCGGGAGGCTGAGACAAGGGGACTTTGGGGGCCAGGCCAGGCTGTGTTAGAATGGGCTACAGTTACAAGACCCTGTCTCCAGAAAGCAAAACAAAGAGCTGGTGACCTGCAGTTGCTTGTGTTTACAGTCTGGAAAGCAGCTAGAGTGCACTATCTGAAAGGGGGCATTTGGTTGATAAGACTGTACAGCTCTGTACAGTCTTATCAACCTTGTGAATGTGTCCCCTTGGGTAGGAGAGGGCCAAGTTCAGAAGACACAGTAGAGTCAAAGTCGGGGCCAGGCAGGTGGAGTCAGGACTTTTCTCGGGACATCTGGCCTCTTGGTCCCCACTTTGCCACGTCCATATCCACCCTGTGTGGGAACTCAGCTCTGCAGAACTGCTGCTTCATTAGGACATTAGTCAGGATTTCCCTCGCTCTAATGTTTTCATTAGGTTGAAATGAATAATCATAGTTACTCTAAGTTCTCTGGCTTACCGTAATTACAACATCTGTGTCACTTCGAAGTCTGGTTCTGACGGTAGCTTTATCTCTAGCTGCTTTTCTTTAGGCTGCCTAGCATGCTGTGTAACTTTTTTTTTAAGTTGAAGCAAGGCATGATGTGGAGAGCAGCAAGAACTCAGGTGATAGTGAGTGCTCCCACCACCACCTTTTTTTCTGTTTTGTCCCTGTTGAGACCATCTTGGCTATATAGCTCTGCCTGGCCTGTGACTTGCTGTATAGAGCATGCTGTCTGCAAACCTGCAGTAAATTCCTCTGCTTATGCCTCCCTAGTGCTGCGATTATATGTGTGAGCCAGCATGCCCTGCTTCTAATAGTCTTCATGTAAGGCTTCCTATTCATCTGGCTAGCCATGGGATTGTGTTGACATCACTATGGATAGCTGGATGAGCAGAGTTCTCCAGTGCGCTTATCTCTCCCTCACTGCACATCCACCCTCGCTCACGCCCTTGGCTCCTCCTCAGTCCGTCGGCTGTAGCCCACTGTTACTGCACTGGAACCTGTGGGTGTAGTTGTAAGGTGTGGTGGTGGGCCACCACCCCGTAATCGTCTAGTTCAGTTCCAGTCTTTTAAGTGGGCCTGTGTCCCCAGGCAGGAATCATCATGTGTTTTCCCTTAGGTAGGCTTTTTCCTCCAGTCCTGTAAGGTGAGGGAGGAAGGCCAAGCCTGAGAAGGGTCTGTTCCCTGGGTGAGTCTCTTCCTTTGGAGAGCAGCCTTAGTTATGGAGTGGCTTGGGGTGCCAGTTGTGCATACCCTCCCCTGCCATAGCCATCAGCGTCTTTATTGGTCTTCACCTTGAGGACCCAGCAGGGCTTCCTCACACTGGCTCTTGATGTTCTGTTCATCCGTGGTCTCCAGTGTTTCTGTTTGTGGGCCCGGTGGCTTCTGCTCAGGTAAGCATGGGTCAGACTCAGTGCTCAGGGTCTATCTTAATCTCCAGAGCTTTTGATAAAAGTGCTCTGCCTGCAACTTCAGTCTTTTTGATTGCTCCAAGATAAGGCTTAGTTTTTAAAGTTGTGCAAGTTTTTCTTCTGTCAAGAACTCAGGATTGATGATGTCTAAGCTCTACACATGCTAGAGTTGTAATGGGACAGCCATCTGGTTTTATCATTGTTTTTCATTTGAAGTGTGAAAGCATCCTCGCTGTGGTTCTTTGAGCTGAGGAGGGTTTCACACACAGGGATCAGAAGCTCCTTTCTCTTCATCATCACAGGCTCTCAGCTGTGCCCATATCACATGCTGTTAAGCCAGCAGAATGGGGTGGTGCAGAGTGCCACAAATGACTTGCCTAATTACGTTGGGCAAGAGCTTCAGCCCCTAGCTCCACCCTACAAAGCTTGGTACCTTCCTCGAAAAAATGGGGGGAACTGGACCAAACTCTTGCCAATATCTGCTACTTTTAAAGGCAATGGTTTTCTATTACTTGAGAAAGAAGGAAGTGGGGGGGAAGGTAAGGAGAAAAAGAGGAAGGGGAGGAGGAGAGGGAAGGAAGGAGGGAAAGAGGATTGTGTAGAACTGATTTTGTTTATTTGTTGTTTTGTTCCCAAAGACTGGGCTTCTAGGAGTCCACAGATGGCCATAAGGTCCAGTTGCACAGCTGTAGCTCTTGCCCTTTACACTGTGGTGACCTTTGGGCTGGGGATGTATGAGCTCTGGAGGAAAACTGCTTCCAGGTTAGCATGACAGACAGACGGCCTGGCTGTATGGTGCTGATAATGACTGTTTTCTTCACTGCCGGGCAACCTCAGTCATGAGTATTCCAACCCATTTCCAAGTGTCTGTGACAAAGCAGTAAACATAATTGAATGACATCTTGTCCCTTTGTGCACATACCTTTTAAATGTTCCATAGACGGAAATAACTGAGTGGAGGAGAAGTGACAGGTTGGTTTGAGCTTTTTTCATGGAGATCCATTTTTCCTTGAAAGAGTGACTGACAGCCAAAGTATACCATTTAATCATGGGCACTTAGCAGGCGTTTTCTTGGAAATGCACAAAGTTCACTTGTCACTTTAAGGAAAATGACCACAGTATTGATGACCAGCCAGATCTTGAGCTTTGAAAAGAGTGGTTTTGAAAACTTGTATTTACCATTGTGAGAGTCCTACTATGTAATGATTTTTTTTTTTCTGAGATCAGTAGAAATATTAAGAAAAGTGGTTTTTTTTGTTTTTTTTGGTGTCATATGATTAATTTATATTACTCTGTGTATGGATAAATGGTCCACTAAAATTTTTTTTGGTTTTTTTTTTTTTTTATTTTGGTTTTTCGAGACAAGGTTTCTCTGTATAGCTTTGTGCCTTTCCTGGAACTCACTCTGTAGCCCAGGCTGGCCTTGAACTCACAGAGATTCACCTGCTTCTGCCTCCCTAGTGCTGGGATTGAAGGCGTGCGCCACCACCGCCTGGCGGTCCACTAAAATTTTAAGATATACCAATGGACTGTAATCTAAAAGTACAAAAATTTCATCAGTGTGTTTTCAGATTCTATATCACAGCTGTTAGAGTTGGGGAGATGGCTCAGTTGGTAGTGTTTGCCAAGCAAGCATGAAGACATCAGTTAGGATACCCAGCACCCACATACAAAGGTGGACATGGTAGCATGTTTTGTAACCCCAGCACTGGGGGGTGAAGACAGGAGGATCTCTGGGCCCTTCTGGCCAGCTCCCAGCCAGATGGTG